GTAGGGCAGTAATAAGCCTCTATAGTTTGAAAAGGATTTACATCTTACAGACTAAGCTTCTGGGCACACCAAAGTTAAATCAACAACAGAAAGATATCCCAAAATATTTGATAAATAGCACATTAATCCATGGGTTGAAGAAGAAATCACAAGGGAAGGAATTTGAAGATATTTTGAACTTAAAAGCACAGTGTATCAGAATTTGTGGTGTGCCACTAAAGCCATGCTTAGAAAGATATTTAAAGTTTTAAATGCTTATATGAGAAAAAAAAACAAATGCTTAAAATTCATGTTATAAGCTTCCATATTAAGATGGTAGAGAAAGAAAAGTGAAATATACCCAAATAAATAGAACAAAGGAAATAAAGATAAGAGCAGATATCGATGAAATACCAAAAAGAAAAACCAGAGAAAATTAAGGAAAACAAAATAGATTTAAAAAAAATAGAATTCATTAACCTCTAGACTTGTCAAGAAGAAAAGAGAAAATGCAAACTACCAATATCAGGGTTGAAGGGGAGCATCACTATAGATCCTATAGACAAAAAGAATAATGCAGGAATATTATGAAAGGATAATACCATAAATATGACAGTTTAGGTAAAGTGGGTAAATACCTTGAGAAATAAAAGTTGCCAAAATTGCTTCAAGAAGAACAAGAAAATCTGAATATCCCTAGGTCTAGTGAAGAAAATGAGTTGATAATTATAATCCTTCCCACAAATTAAACTCCAGGCTCAAATAATGAATTTCTCCCAACATTTAATGAAGAAGTAATACTGTACTTTTTAAGAAAATAAAATGGACAGAATCCTTCATAACACATTTTATAAAAGGCTAGATAACATTATAGTGGTACTAAGGCCAAATGAATATATTCAAAGAAAAGTAAACTACGGACCAGTGTCCACTGTGAGCAGAGATGGAAGCATGTTTAACAAAACATCACCAAATTGAGGAAAGCGTTAGTGGTACAGTGGTGAGCATAGCTGCCTTCCAAAACATCAGCAAATTGAATCTAGCAGTATATATAAAAAGGATAATAAACTATGACCAAGTGAGCTTTATCTTGGGAAGGCGAGATAGGTTTAATATTTGAAAGTCAATATAATTCACTGTGTCAGCAGAATAAAAAAGAAAAAATACATGAATTATATATAAACTTAATAGATGCAGAAAAATTATTTATTAAAATTTAAAACTCATTCATAAGGAAAGCTGTCATCAAACTAGCAAAGAAGGGAACTTTCTTACTTGGTAAAGCGTATTTATAAAAATCCTACAGGTGGTATCATCTTCAATAATAATTAATTAATGCTTTCCCCCAATAACTGGGAACAAAACAAGGGATGTCCACTCTCACCAGTTCTCTTCAGCATTGTCTTGCGGGAATCTAACAAGTACAATAAACCAAGAAAAGGAAATAGAAGACAGATTTGAAGGAAGAAGTATAACTGTCATTACTCCCAGATTACATGATCCTGTTTATGTAAAATCCTCAGAAATCTATAAAATAGCCACTAAAACTGTGCTAAAACTAAAACCTTTATCACAGTCAATGGGATTCAGGGTCAAAATATGAAAATCATTTATGCTTCTGTTAGTAGCCACAAACAACTAGAAATTGAAACTTAAAAAATATATGCCATTACAGCATATATCCAGAGAAAACTACTTCAAAGATATGCATCCCTGTGTTCATAGCACTAATTACAATAGCCAAGAAATGGAAACAACCTAAATGTCCATCAACAGATGACTGGACAAAGAAGATATGGTGTGTGTATTTGTGTACACACACACACACACACACACACAGGAATACTACTCAGCCATAAAAAAGAATAAAATGCCATTTGCTGCAACATGGATGGACCTAGAGATTATCATGCTAAGTGAAGTAAGTCAAACAGAGGAAGACAAATATCATGTTATCACTTATATGTGGAATCTAAAAAGAGAAAAAGATAAACAAATGAACTTGTTTACAAGCCAGAAATAGACTCACAGACATAGAAAACAAACTATGGTTACCAAAGGGGAAAGGAGGCAGGGGGCATAAATTTGGAGTTTGGAATTAGCAGATACAGACTACTATTATGTAAAATAGGTAAACAGTAAGGACCTACTATATATAGCACAGGGAACTATATTCAGTGTCTTATAATAACCTGTGATGGAAAGGAATATGTATATATACATAACTGAACCACTGTGTTGTACACCAAAAACTAACACAATATTGTAAATCAACTATACTCTAATAAAAAATAAATTGATTAAATTTATATATATATATATATATGTGTGTGTGTGTGTATATATATATCTCATTAGAATACAACCAAAATCATCAAACATTTAGGGATAAATTGCACAAAATATGTTTAAGACATACACATTGAACAATGCAGAACATTACCAAGAGCTGATCCTAAAATTCACATGGAAACACAAGTGACCTAGAATGTCCAAAATAAAAGAAGAGTAAAGTTGAAGGACATACATTGTCAGACTTCATGACTTAATTTAAATCTATAAAAATCAAGAAAGTGTTGTATTGGCATATGGATATGCATTTAAATCTTGGGCAGAATGGAAATTCCACATCTAAGCCCACACATACATGCTTAATTGATCTTTGACAAAGATTCTGAAGTAATTCCACAGATTAGTGGTAGGATTTTTTTTTTTTAAACAAAGTCTTTTCAACATCAAAGCAATAGGCATTATATATGGGAAAAATGATTATCATGCTATATGGAAAAATTAACTCAATATGGAAATTAAAAATATTTAGAGGAAAACACTGGTGGAAATACTTGATGTAGTGAAAGATTATCTTAGATATGTTACCAAAAACATGAACCACAAAAGAAAAAAATGATAAGTTGGTCTTTATCAAAATTAAAAACTTTGGCTCTTCAAAACATACCATTTAAAAAATTGAAAAAAGCCACAGGATTGTAGAAAATAGTCACTGTATGTAAATCTGACAGGGTTTTTATTCAGAATATATAGTGAACTCTTAAAATTCAGTAGTAAGAATACAGCTGACCTAATTTTTCAATTGGGCAAAAAATTTGAACAAAAGATAATTGAGGAATATGACCAATAAGCGTATGGAAAAAATAGTTGGTCATTAAGAAAATGCAATTTTTAACCATAATGACATCTTACGTAGTTAAAATTTAAAAGATCAACAATACTAAGTTGACAAGGCTGCAAAACAATAGCAATGCTCATAAATTTCTGGTGGGAGTGTAAAACTTGTGTATGCACTTTGCAAAACAAATGGGCAGTCTCTTAAAAAGTTCTGTCACTTCCATTTGATAGAGCAGTTCTTGTACACAAATGTTTACAGTAGCTTTATTCATTATAGTCCAAACCTGGAAACAATCCAGAATTCCATCCACAAGTGTGTGGATAAACAGAGGTGTTTTTATGCATGCAGTGGAATTCTACTCAACAATAACTAAGAATGGAATTACTGATATACAGAAAAAAATGCATGAATTTTTAAAGTATGCTTATCGAAAGGAACCAGACACAGAGGGTACATTCAGTATGGTTTCATTTATATAAAACTGCAAAATACAAATCTTAATATGTAGTAAAAGAAAGAAATTCAGTGGCTGCCTGTGGTTGCTTGTGGATAGGAAATTTTTCTGGGAAGGAGTATTAATGAATCTTTTTGAGAAGTTGGAAATGTTCTATAAACAGATGATGATGGTAGTCACCCAAGTATCTATTTTTTAAAGTCTGACAAAATTTATCCTTAAAATGCGCTTATTATTACGTATATACCTCATGAAGTTTGGGAGGAGGGGAGTCCTTCCTTTGTTGGCAGAAAAAAATCCTTTATAATTCAGATGTATATCCTTTGAAGATTAAGAATTTATTTATTTAACTAAATAACCTTAGTAACTTGCTTTTAGCTTTTTCAGATTATCTCTTTCACTCTATTACTTATTTGAAATTGCAAAAGGAGGTGGTGAAAAATAGGTGCTAATCTTGTGATGCAAGGATATAAAAATACCTAATGAATGCCATTGAACAAGGTTAAATAATTTATGATTGGAGTAGAATTTGAAGTTTTATACAGCATACAATATTTTGTTATTTATGATAATGCCATTATATAGTTCTTGAGGATGTGTACATAGGTTTTACAAATATTTTATCCTCATAATAGACTGTGAAGTAGTCAGGAAAGGTATCATCTTTCTTTTCTACACATACGCACACATGTGCACACAGGCTCAGTGAGATTATTTTATTTCATGATGATCATTTAGTAGACAAGTGCTAGAGGACCTGGAATTAAGAGTAAGAGCTCCTGGCTCTAATTCTCTTTGCACTATGATGCACCACTTCCCTTTAAAATACACTTTTTTTGTCTCATCTGTCTCCACCTCTCCCTTAAAAAAAAAAAAAAGACCCATTAACTTTATTGACGTGCATTCTTAATAGAATTGGGTTTCTTTTCATGCTTAAGTTTAGATACTGGTTCAGTTGTATTGTAAATAACCGGAAACATTCTTGGGGGTTCATAAAGTGACCAAAAAGCAAGTATAGTGTCCAGGGGATAAACAAGCTTTGAATAAACGTACTTTTGGGTTCCATAAAATAATATGAACAGTTGCCAAGAAATTATATAATTTGACCAGTTTTCAGAATCTATTTAACATACTAATTTAATTCATTATGACAATTTTCAGACTAAATAAACTTGAAGATAGTATTATACTAATTAAAGGAAAAATTGAAGAAGTTCGTCTTCCTGTAGAGAAAGTGGATGTTATTATATCTGAGTGGATGGTAAGTATTTGCAGAAGAAACTGATTTTATTAATTTAAAAAAAGCAATGAATAAAGTGGTGGGTTTTCTGCTTTTAATTATGTTTGATAAATGGCAGAATGATGGCTTTACTTTTAAAAACAGCTACCATCTTTTTATGGTAGTTAATTTTGAAATGGGACTTGTTTACTGGCCATATATAATCTTTTAAAGAAGAGAATAAATTAGCTTTTTTACTTTTAAAGTCATAATAAAGAATTACTATTTTTCTGCTTCCTAGATTTGTAGATACCTAAATATGTTTGCCTAAAAGCCTCTAGGGACTAGTTAAGGACTTACTAGGACTGTTTACCTATCTTTCTGATCTATTAGCCAATGTAATCAGTGTCCCTTATCACATAAAGTAGAATTTATTGGCATTATTAAAATAATAAAATTAATATACATTATATAGCTTTATATTTTGCTTTTGAAACCACAAATCAAGGCCAGAGTATTTATTTTAAAATGTCTATAAAGTAAAATTAATGGTATTTGACAACTGATTTGACTTAATTGATATGCCACTTCAATTAAGGCAAGTATATAGTATTTCTAGAGATGCAAAGTTATTTTAATCGTCTGGAAAGTGGTAGGTTTTTTTTTAATTGTTAAAGATGAATTATTATTCATTTTTATTAAATGAATGTATCAAAACTTCTTGAAAAGAATGAGTTTTGCTTTACAGTTATCTATAAATTTTGAACAAACATAGTAAGTAATAATTCCAGCAAAATAGTCTGATTTTAGGGAGTTTTTGAAATGTTCAGAATTAATGTAGTGGGTTTAATTTAGAGCCAGTGGCAGTCACTGTTGTTGGAATTTACTGTTTTGCATGTGAAACAGTGTGTTCATTTTTTTCATGATAGGGTTTGCTTTTAACAATTCTTGATCACAATGTCATCATTCTTCTTAATACCAAATAATTTGTATCACCATTCTGATTTCCCTTATAAAGTGAATGAGAAGGAATGAGTTGTTACGTATAATTAAAAATTCAGCATCTCTTTAAAGACTACAAAAAGATGCTTTGGAGAAAGCACATTTGAGGCATCTGCTTGGTAACAAATAAGTAGTTTATACCAAATATTGACTGACATAATCCTCATCTCTCTAAGGACCATTTCATTTTTCTTGGAAAATGCATCTTTTAAACTACCCCAAATTACACTATAAAGCAGACTGAAAGACAGACTTCTTGCTGCCTCAGTTGAACATTTTTACATATCTGATTATAACTAGCTGGATAGTTCTCGCCCTGCCTAGCAGAATTATCCTTCTAGATATTGATGTTGTAGGAATTTTCATTCAAAACTTGAAAGACAATCTAGGAGTATTCATATACAATTGAAATTAGAAACAGTTAATATAATAACAAATAAAAACTTAGCTGGATTGACGAATTTGTGAGATTGTCACAATTATGATGTGAACTTTAGTGAAGGGTGTTATGGCCTTGGGTTTGTTTAACCTCAGATCCTCTTTACACCCTTCTCCTGCTTTCTTCTGTTCTGATGGAAGAGGGCAAACTCTGCGGGGGCTTTTCCTAGGCTCCAGTGACTGCCGGCTTCTATTGGCTTTTGGGAATCTAATGGGAAACACTAATGGGAGACTTTTATGGAAGGGAGAGGCCAGGACGTTTCTTTACTCTCTTTTGCCTCCAGTGATATTGCTGGCAGAAGGTGTTTCTTTTGTGGTTCCAATTCCCACTTAACAAACCTGTTGTAATTCCAGCATCAACTATGCAGCCCTGGCCCTGGGCTCTTTTAGAGTGCTTCTTCCTTTTGTTTCTCTAACTCTTCTAGTTAGACTCTAATTGATGTGAAGGGTACCTTTTGTTTTGGAGGATTGGTCAGGCATGGTCTCTGCCTTTATCAGGAAAGCAGTGTCACACAGACAATACTGAGTCCCTGGAACCTAAGATGAAAGGAGCCAGTTGTTTGGAACCAAGATGCTTTCAGAAACCCTTTAGTATGGGAAATGTCCAGAAAGTGGTAACTAAGAACTTTATTTCTTCCTCTTCACAAGGGTATAACTTAGAGTTTTCTTATCTTACTGTCTGCATTTCCTTGTAAACAGTGGAGTTGGAGTCTAGCAGATTGTGTTAAATGTGTTAGGTGGAGCATTAGACACTGTAATTTATGGCAGTTACTCTAAAGCTGTCAACTCTGGATGGCCTTATTTCTCTAATGAAATTTGCACTTAAGCCTTTTTGAGTAGGTTTGTGGTGAGAAATTTTGAGTCATCTTTGTGCCTTGGCAGTATCATTTATAGTCTCTTCTGAATCCTGTAAGTCTCCTCCTAACTGTGATACTTCTACTAGAATTTCTGAACTGAGAAGCTGGAAAATTCTAGCTACATGATTAACAAGAAGCAGGTATGCTTCCTAAAATATATCCAACATTTTTTCAGACATTCCTACTTTGGCTTACACAATGGCAGGTGGCAAATAACTGACTATTCTAAATTTTTTTGAAAGCCACATTTTCATGAACCAACATTTAAAGTTTTTAAAATATATTGCATAGAATCCTCTTTGAAAGAGTTTTCTTCAGCAGTAAGGATGCAAAAATCTAGAATAATCCAAATTTAAACTACAGCATACTTTTTTTCTCTTTTTGAAAGTTTTTTCAACAAGGAGGGACAAAAAAAGAATATACCCTGCAGAATTGGGCACAGATGTTTAATGGACTTGTAATCTAATATAGCAATGTAGGC